CCTTCCGAAAAGCCATCAAAACCTGGCTGTGCCGGCAGGCCTGGGGTTGATGAGTTCCTTCTCCTCTCGACCTGGGCGGCTGTGTGACTCTTGGCTATTTTAACTACTTGTATTGTACTCTGTGTTCCCATTCCCCCCTTGAGTTGTTCGCCGCCCTGAGTCCCTCCCGGAATAGGGCGGCATATAAATAAAACAAATCTCAAATCTCTCACTGTCCCAGGTTCATGGGATTATCATTTGCATCCAGCTGGCTTCCAACAGTCAATGGGAGAAGCTGAATTTGCTTAATGACTGCATGCTTAACAACTGTGGCAAAAGGCCAAAAAAAGCAGGTGTAACTCACTTAATAACTATTTTGCTTAGCAATGGAACTTCTGGTCCCAATTGTAGTCATAAGTCAAGGACTACCTGTAATTAATACAGGTGCTATATCAAGACAGGATTTTGGAATCAGAGTTTTGATGGTTTGGGAGGAGAGTAGAACACTTAAGTGGAAGCCCACGTTAATTTTATTTCTAAATACAATAAGAAGCCCTGCTAGATTCAGGATACCCATTCTGCAGAATCAGTTTATGGGCTTGAAAGTCAAAGTCTCATCCCGTGATAGCATCCTGTAGAGTTTCCACATAAATTTTGGCTGCCTTAAGTTCTAAAAACAGTGCTGCTTGTTTCTGGGATAGCTAAGGCTCATCTTAATTTCATATGGTCCCCCCCCCTTGCACATACATTATGTGCTAGTTGTTCCTGACTCTAGGGGTGGTGCTCATCTCCGTTTCAAAGCCGAAGAGCCAGCGCTGTCTCTGTGGTCATATGGCTGGCATGACTAAACGGCGAAGGCGCATGGAACGCGGTTACCTTCCCACCAAAGGTGGTTCCTATTTTTCTACTTGCATTTTTTAACGTACTTTCGAACTGCTAGGTTGGTACAAGCTGGGACAAGTAATGGGAGCACACTCTGTTACGTGGCGCTAGGGATTCGAACCACTGAACTGCTGACCTTTCTGATCGACAAGTTCAGCGTCTTAACCACTGAGCCACCTTTCATAAGCACTTCTTATTCAAATCAACATTAGTGCCAGTAAATAAACTTCACCACTGCTGCTTAAACCGTTTCATTTAGGAATTTTGAACCCAATAGGAGCCTGAGGTTGTAATTTGGTTTGTTGTCGAAATGGTTTGCCTTGTGAAATTAAGAGCGACGAAAGTTGCCTTTTAAAATGGAGCTCTTTCACAAGAATCCACTGCATGTTTCATTTTCATCATCGGCAGCTAGAGCTAAATTTGCTTGCTGCAATTTTCCTGACGGCTGGGAGTACATATTTGGAGTACTTTTTGACAGCCATAAATCTTAACGGAACAGAGGACATACTGAAAAAGTTTCCAGATCTCCAATGGTTTCATATTTAGCAAATGCCAAGAAAAGGGTGCGGTTAAGGTCCATCTTGACATAATGAAAAAGTTATTTCAGGGCATTTGAGGCACATTCCGCGCCCCCGCGCCCCCCTTAGGCCTCTACTGTTAGGATCAAAACATCAGAATCATAGAATAATAGGGCTAGAAGGGACTTTGGAGGTCTTCATTAAATGCAGAACAATAAATATGTGGGAGGAAACAGATAATTGCGTGCTAATCAAAATGAAAATCTAATCTCAGAACTGTTAGCACAAACATTTGATGACAACTGAGAGATTAAAAATATTAATATTCCCACTGCAAATTTACTGGGTGATCTTGGGCCAGCCTTTCCCTCTCTCAGCCCAACCAACCTCACAGGTTGTTGTTGTTGTTGTTGTTGTGATAAAATGAAGGAAGGGAAGGTATGCAATGTGTGAATCTAAAGCATTTTTCACTTTTTGGATATGAAAATTACAGTACATCTCTCTACAAAATCCCATGTAAGTAGTCTTGTATTCTTAGAGAAAAGGAAGACACAAATAAATTAGTGGTTATTCCTTTATTGATTAAATGTTATCCACCTTTCATACTTTTCAAGGTAGAATACAACATTTTTCTCCCCCCCCCCCCCACTATCTTATTTGACTACTGCAGCTTTAATTTAACAAGTCATATCCCAATAAAAGTATGTTGGGTTGGAATTTTAAGATGGATAAACTTCAACATTGGTGGCTGGGCTGGCTGGGGTATTGTGGGAGATGAAATCCACAAGTCTTTAAAAAGGTGAAGTTTATGAAACAGTGTGTTAAACCCTAGAGTAAGTAAACACAAGAAGCCATAAGCCAGCCTGAGATTGAAACTGATCAGTCTTAAAATGTAACCAACACATCTTTCATGGGTTGTGCAAACCCATCTGTGATGTGCTAGCAACACTAGCCATTGATTGAAGGATTTTGGGAGAAATTAAGTCCACTATGAGAACCAGTTTGGTGCAGTGGTTAAGACTCAGGGCTCAAAACCAAAAGATATGAATTCTAATCCTGAATTGGTCACAAAGCCAGCTTGGGTCAGTCATTCTCTCTCAGCCCTAGGAAGAAGGCAAGGACAAACCACTTCCAAAAATGTTATCAAAAGGATGAAAGGACTAGTCCAAGCAGTCATGAGGAGTCAACACTGACTTATAGACATACAAGTATATACACAATATTAAACTGGTGGTCCCTCAATTGAATCTCTATGTATAAAAGGCAAGTACCACTTAGTCATCACGAAATTTCCAGAACCGTAAAGCCTACAAACCTGAAATTTGGCACGTACGTTCCTCTTGGCTTCTAGGTGCTCACTAAAGGATTTTTCGAAATGACCATCAGATCATTAGTCTTTCTTATACAGTAATTAACACACTCTGATGCTAAGGAGTTCTACTCCCCCTCCCCACCTGAAAAAAACTCTGTTCCAACTGCCAGTTGCCTCACATTCCCTTACCTCAGCTCAAACTGGCAGACATTCCATTCCTTCACTCAGGAACGGTCCAGGGTTCCTTACCTCACCAAAATGTCTATACCTTCCACCTATGGAATTGCTTCCGGACTCAAGGCGGCAGGAATGATATTCCCTTATGTGTTTCACTCTCCAACCACCACTGAGCCAACAGATTGTGACCTGAATTTCTCTTCCTGGCATAGCACGGATATCCAGCTACTAGTATAGTTTATAATTAAATCATCTTTCCCCAACCAAGTACCCATCTAGCTCTGCATGGGTACAAATTTCAAGCTTGAGAGACTTTATTGCCTAGAGAGAAATTAATGCCCCAATGCGTGAAAAGCCTGATTAGCCCTAGTAATAGCCTCTATTCCTCCTTTTCTTCACATAATGGATTCTTCCAACGGAGCATCTTCCCTAGTGGGCCTATTGTATTCTAACTTAAAAGGGGGGGGGCGCCTGAAAGAAGCAAGAGATTTTCACCCCGTTAAGGGGCCGAAAGGAAGACCGGACGAGCATCTTCCCCTCCTTCCCACTTCACGCAAGGGGCGCGGCTTGGTGGCTCCCCGCCAAGCCACGCCCCCCTCTTTATAAGGCTTCCCGCGCCGGCCATTTTGTCTGTCTTTCTTTGGCTGCGAGTGGGAGAGGTTGACAGACCTGTCTTTTTTCCTCCCCAACCGTTTGTTTTATTTCATTTTAGTTCAGAGCCGGAGTGAAGGGCCGCTCCGTAGATGGCCAGCTTTCCTCCGAGTGTTAACGAGAAGCTCATTGGTAAGAAAGAGCCCGTTCACGGTTCTTTTTTTAAAAGAAAATGTTTCGTTGCTAGGGTTATGGTTAATAAACGGCGGAACAGTTGGGAAGAAATCCGTTGGGTGTGTATAGATCGACCGACCTGTTTGGGGAGGGGGGGGAGAGAAGCTTCATGTTGTGCATGCATGCTTAACGAAATCTCATTAATTTTATTGGAGATGGGCTTATTCCAAGGTAAGTAACCTCAATTTCCTCCGTCTGGCATTTTCCCGATTATTTGCGTGGCAGCTGATGTTGGTCTCAGTCACGGTTTGCCTCTTGGGAGACAAATAATGAGACTCGTGGGCGCCAGGTTGGGGAAGGGCAGTCTGTCTTGGCTAGCCCTTAACGCCACTTTTATTTATTTTTTAAAAGGGAAAAAATTTAAATGCCTGAGTATTCTGCCATGTGAACAAAAGCTTCGTTTTCCTGGAAAGAGTAATGGTGCGCAATAGGAATTGTTGGGGCATGTGTATTTGTATACTATAAATGCAGATGTCAGCACTTCCATGTGTCTTAGGAGGAATACAGGGAGTCCTCGACTTATAACAACAGTTCAGTGACCGATGTTACGCCGCTGCTGAAAAAAGAGACAGGACCGTTTTTCGTACTTTGAATGCTTGAGGCCTGAGTCACATTTATGATGGTTGCAGTGTCCCAGGAGTCAAGCGAAGTCAATGGGGAAAGTCAGATTCACTTTAACAAGCAGTTTACCAATTTTACAACTCCAGTGCTTCACAAACCTGGCAAAAATAATAATAATAATAATAGTCGTAAAATGGGGGCAAAACTGACAACATGTTTCTCACTTAACAGAAAGTTTGGCCACAATTGTGGTCGTAAGTTGAGGACTGCCTGTAATCGTGTACAGGGAAAGCAAAGCCAAGCCGTGTGCAGGCAAAAGAAGAGGAACTTGATGTGGGCTTGCTTCCGCCTTAATAGGAATGATCCGGCCCATTTCCGAGGAATTGCATCTGGGTGGATATTGGAAGCAGCCCTATATTTATTTATTGGGAGGAAGGTTGTGGTGACCCTAATAATAGCTCCGCTGTAAGATAATCTTTGGCTTTGCCCATTGCAGACCTGCCATTCTAAAAATAGTGGCTAAGGAGACTCCTCCTGACCCCTCAGTTATTTGAAGGATGTGGGTGGGTGGAATGATGGAAGGGGAGGTGGGGGCCCTTGACAGTAGAGACTTTGTGGTCAGAGTCGAGGGCTTGTAGTGTCTGCAGCTATAGAAAGATAGTTCACACCATTCCCCCTTTGCACCCTAAAAAGTAGATGACATGGACTGTAGCCCCAACACATGCTGGCTGTTGAGCAGATGTAATTGTCTTGAATGGAGTTTTTCAGCTGGCAGGAGGCTTTTGGAGAATGAGTTGATGGTGGCCCTATTTTTGGATTGGAAGAGGGGATTGGTGGTTTAGACCAGGGGTTACCAACCTTTTAGACCTCAGGGATCACTAAATTCATAATTTTAAATCCCGCGGATCATTAATATGATTTTTTAAAAAACATAAATAGTATTTAGTGCAATATAAAAAGTGCAAATAATTTTTCTGCGGACTACCAAAATGTTCTCACGGAGCACCAATTGTCCACAGACCACCAGTTGGTAACCACTGGTTTAGACCATCTAGAGAAACCAAGGCTGAACAAAACGAAATTAGCTGTGGTTTATATTTGGGTTCCAAATTGAAGTGGAGGCGGGTGGGTGTGGACTTAGAGACCAATCACAAGACAAGAAACATGGGAGTGGAGATAAGGGAGTGGAAGAGGCTGGCATCAGAGATTTGATCAAATGGGAATAAGTATCAGACAGCAGTTTTTATCTTTGTACTTGCATCTATAGATAATGGCAAGGCATAAAATGCTGCCTTCAGCCTGCATAATAGCCAGTAATACTTTGTGTTGCTTGCTGTACCATGTTCCAGAGGTTGCTTTCAAAAGGCAACTGGACTTTGTTTTTTCTTTGAGGACATTTTGCTTCTCATCCAAGAACCTTCTTCAGTTCTGAAGAAAAGAACTGAATAAGCTTGGATGATGAAACATCTCCAAGAAAAAAACAAGGAAATCCAGGTGCCTGTTGGAAGGCACCTTTGGGACAACCATGACCTGGATGCCTAAGAATCTCCATAGACCTTTACTATATCATGGATGTTCTTCCTTTCACGAGTTTGATTTCAATTTTCTAACAATTTATGTGTTCTCCATAATATTCTTTTGTCCCTTCCCAGGAAATTATAGCATACAGTAGACATAAAAACAGAGCGTGTAGTTTAAAGTAACAGACTCAGATATGAGAATTCAACTCAAACACAAATTGTGACATATTAAAGGTGAATAAATTGATTGTACCTTAGCTTTTTGATAATTTTATTAATTTTTAAGATACTCAAGGAGACAATAGATCCGCTATAGCAGACAAATCATAATTTCAGGGAGTATGGATGAATTATTTCAGTATAGAAACAATTACTAAAACTTCCGTATCCAATTTCACAAGTCCTTGGAAGGAACAAAACTGCTTGAAAACCTCAGGCACATAAAGGATACAAATTGTTTGCTTTTGTAAAATGATCTGCAAAGTGATACGACTTTTCATTGATACTAAAGATGTTGTGGTTATTTGAATGAATAGTGCAATAAATTACTTTCCAGTTCTACATCTAGTTTGGTCCAATGGTTAAGGTGCTTATTCTAGGTAGGAGCGGGGAAACCTGGGTTCAGGTCCTGTTTTAGGCATGAAACCATCTGGCTGCGTGACTGGCTCACTCTGTCTTTGGATGATGACAAGAGCAACCCACTTCCAAAAATGCAACCCAACACCTTCATGGATTTGTCTATGTAGTCATCTGACTCAAAGCAGCAATAACAATTTTAAAAAAAACCACACATAGTTTCTGATCCTCAATTGTGGTATCTAACTTGTGCTGAATGTGGTAGCAGGAGGAATTGCAACTTTTTGTCCCTTGTAATTTTTGAAATGACGTCATTTTCTTTTTGATATGCTTAGATTCTATTCAGATTTATGTTGGTTATCATGTTTCTGACTTTGAAATTGTGTGCTTATATTTTTTTATATACTGTTGTAGGGAATTAAAAGCAGAATCAGATTGCACGTGCACAATTATTCAAAAAATGTAACTTCTGGTATGAAGTTATACCTATTGAATGTCTGACAAATGATGAACTTTTATTTTTTTAGGAAGGTCACGGACAGTAGGAGAACTCTTAGCTCCAGCTTCTCCTTTCGATAAGAAGTGTGGCCGTGAAAACTGGACAGTTGCTTTTGCTCCAGATGGCTCCTACTTTGCTTGGTCACAAGGCCATCGCATAGTAAAGCTTGTCCCCTGGTCTCAGTGCCTTAAGAATTTGTGAGTATGGCTGGCTTAGAAAAATCTTATTTGTTTATTTGTCTTGAGACCTTCCTACAGTCTTCCTATTATGGATTTTTTCAAAATTTAAATTAAATACAATATCAGGGAAATATAGCAGATTGAACTCAATCATATTTTGCCTGAATATATACATTGTGTTATATTATGGTTTGTTTAAACATAGCATATGTCATGGCACGTTAACTGTAACTTAAAACCACAGTATCTTAAGTCTGCATAACACACTACTATATTTACCAAGCAGTTGTGTAATGTCTTACCACAGTACAGTAGTTAAAATATGGTTTCAGTTTGTTGTGTCTTTTCTCGTTGGCTTCATGAGGATTACCCATTCTAACCTTCTCCACCTTTTGGTCTTCTAAATAATATTGGATAAATTCTCCAAATCCCTCATGTTAGGAAAGGCTGCTCTGTTCTCAACAGAAGAGAGCATCTAATCCAAGAGTGTCAAACTTGCATCATCACATGACATATTGCTATTTTTTTCCCCTTCGCTAAAACCGGAGTGGGCGTGGCCAGCCCGTAATGCGGCCAGCCCATGAGTTTGTCACCCCTGATCTAATTCAATAAGCCTTAGAGAGAGATTCCCCAAAGGATTATGGGAACTAAAGAAAAGGATGTGGTTCTTCGGCTTAATCATACTTCCCCATGAAGCAAGCTAGTTGTAGCTCAGTGGTGGACATATGGATTTTAATCTAGAAGACATGGATTAATTCTACCTTGGCCTTGATATGCTCTCTGCTTTGTTTCTATCCAAAGCAGTGGCCTGTTTCTCAAGGATAGAGAGAAAATGCTTTCTTCTAGCTAAAATGCATCATCTTTCTTCATGCATTAAATGCTGGATTGCAATATTATGGGGTGATTGATGTTAGTGTTGTCTGCTGACCACCTCCATAAAGAAATGTTTTTGTATGAGTTTACTAGAAAACCACAGTCCCTTTCTTGATGTTCTTGGGACTTTAAAGTCCAAAGGAGTGGGATGTTATAATGATTTATAACAGGATATTTAAATAAAATGGCATGCCTTTAGGACCTTGCTCTTGCAAAACATTTACCCTTAATTTTATTACCCACAGCTCATTGCACGGTGTAAAGAATTTTGCCAATTTAAATCATTCCAAGCTTTCAAGGCAGAACAGTGATGGCGACCAGAAAAACAAGCCCTGTGAGCAAGTCATAGATTGTGGCGACATAGTCTGGAGTCTTGCATTTGGATCATCAGTACCTGAGAAACAGAGTCGTTGTGTGAATATAGAATGGCACCGGTTCAGATTTGGTCAAGACCAGCTTCTATTAGCAACAGGCTTAGCCAATGGACGCATCAAAATATGGGATGCCTATACAGGTAAGGAAGGACATTTTTACAGAGCTCAGGTGTCTTGCTTTCCTTCTAAAATAACAATAAGGTTAGCCCCCTTCAGATGTTGCCATAGTACAGCTTCCACCAGCCTTACACCTCCATGATTTGGGACCAGGTTATTTGAAGGGCTATCTCTCCTCTGTTACTTCTATTCAGCCCACCAGAACTGGAAGACAGGGCAGGTTATAGGTCCCACTGATTAAAGATTATCATCCTGTGGGACTATGATAAAGGGCCTTCTTGGTGGTGGCCCGTTCTTTATGGAACATTCTATTCTCCCTGAGGTACATTTGTGCCCGCCCCCACTCTCCTGCTTTTCTGAAAGGCCCTAAGGTAGATTTGTTAGCAGGCCTGGGCATCATGAATGGTGATGGAGCTAATCAAATGGCAAATTTGATTGTGTTGTTGCTGCCATTGCGAGTGGGTAGGGGGTGTTGCAATGGATTTTATTATATAATGGGTTTTTTCAATTTTGTAGGGTGCCAGTGGGTAGCACCCTATGTGTGAGTGGGTGGCTATATACATTTGTTGAATAAATAATAAAATACTTGTCTTATTGGTTGGAATTGAGAGGAATCTAGTGATATCTGGAGAAACATTTCTGTTTTTTTATTTAGAAGAGAAGGAAGAATGGCATACAATAATTATAAAGACTTGTTATTTGTAAGCTACTGTTGTATGTGTTCCTTTAGGATAAATTATTTCACTTACTGAAAAGTGTCTTTGCAAGTGTAATTTTTGCCCAGTTTAACTTTTATGTAATCTGAATACAAGTTGATGCCCAATTCTTCAAAATTGAAATACAAACAGCATTGTGCTGCATAAACCTTAAAAGTTGAACCAGTGGCTTTTGTATTAAAATCTTGAAACTACTTGGGAGATAAGTTATCCTGGCACTTTTTGTCAAGTTTATCCAGTAGATAGCTCAAGTATATTGACTTAAAGGAGGCCTATTTGGGATCAAAGGTTTCTTTAAAAAAAAAACCCAAAACAAACATAAGTGATGTGTAAATAACTCATTAGTTAAATATAAGGACCTAGGGCTCCAAAGGGATATTGAAAGAACTGGATTTGTTTAGCATCAGAAAAGGACTACCAGGGGTGGTGCAATAACTGCCTTCAAATATTTGAAGGACTGCCATGAAGGTCAGGGACAGGCAACACAGAGGAAGCGTGCAAAAGAATGTGTGCACAAACTGTTCTGTACAAGCACAGCTGGTTTTGGGTGGTTCATGTAAAAGCTGTAATATGCATGTTTGGTCTGGATCAGAGAGAAAGGGGGTTGGGGATTGTTCTCGATACAGATTGAAATGGAATTGTCCAGGTGGGACAGAGGTGGGTTCCTACCAGTTCGCACCTATTCGGTAGAACCGGTTCGTCAGATCTACCGAACCGGTTAGAAGAGGTTCTACCAGTGGACCCGGAAAGCAGGCCACACCTACAGAAGAGGTTCCAAAAAATTTTGAAACCCACCACTGACACACACACATACACACATACACAAACACACACAGACTCACACAGAGAGAGAAAGAGAAAGAAAGAAAGAAAGAAAGAAGAAAGAAAGAAAGAAAGAAAGAAAGAAAGAAAGAAAAAGTGAGAGAGAGATGAAAGAAAAAAAGGAAAAAGGGACAGAGAGACAAAAGGAAGGAGAGAGAGAAAGAAAGAAAGAAAGAAAACATGGCCGGCAAGCCACTCCCACCAGGTCACATGGCCGGCAAGCCACTCCCACAAAGGAGGCCACACCCACAGAGTAGGTTCGAAATTTTTTTGAAACCCACCACTGAGGTGGGAGTGTTTGTAGGAGAAGGTAGAAAGGAAGGGAACCCCAACGTTGTGTGAGTTGGAGAAATGGTGGAGGAAAGAAATTATGATAGGAAAATGAGAGATGGGAATAAGCCAGTGAGACATCTGGGTGCACCAGTCTTCTACTTTGGAAAATGATTCTGGGATTCCTATGAGTATTTTCCCAGGCCAAAACTGGAACCACAGTAACATTTTTTAATGCTGAACGATAGCCAACCTTGAATGGTTTGGCAGGACTTCCTCAAGTGATTTGTTCCGTTTTGTGCACATCTTGGGATATTAAATTATCTGATGTTTGTCTTTTCTACCCATCAATCTCTCTGCTCCCCCTGATTATTTAAATAGGAAACTGCTTTTAATAGGGGAAGCCTCCTAATTATGGGGGTGGGGGTGGGGTGTTGGGCCCACAAATATCTCATTATAGCAATAGAGAATATCTTGGTCCTCTAGTTCAGTGTTTCTCAACCTTGGCAACTTGAAGATGTCCGGACTTCAACTCCCAGAATTCCCCAGCCAGCGAATGCTGGCTGGGGAATTCTGGGAGTTGAAGTCCGGACATCTTCAAGTTGCCAAGGTTGAGAAACACTGCTCTAGTTCACCCTCTGATAAATGGCTGTTTTGTAACTGGCGATGGTTAACCTGTCAGCCATTTTATGAATAAGCAAGTTTTCTCAGGCAGCCATTTTGCCCACCTCATGGTAACAGAACTCAAAGTGCCCGTAGAATGGCGACCCATCCCTGCACACTTCTCTTGTGTGGCAAACATGGATGGACAATCTTTTGGGGTGAAATCTGTATTTTAACTATAAAAATTTGGGAATTTTCCAAAGGTTCCAGGCCTATTTTGTGAAGTGAGAATTCTGGAGGCTGAGGGTAAAATAGATACACTTTGTTTCTCAAAGGCTCCAGTACAATAATTTATTCCCTATTTGGGCTAAAGAATGTGGAAAGTTATACCATCTAATTTTTTTTTTTGTTGTTGTCACAGAGAATTTACAGGGTGTTTGAGCTATTCTGTCGAAGTTGTAGGCAGTGTTGCATATGATTTTGATTTAAAACTTCCTATATTAATATTATAAAACATAAAATAGCACTCAATTGCTTGCAAGCAGAGAACAATATAAAAATTTGGGTTTCGTGGTATTGGATACTACAATTTTTAAGATTTATAAATGTAGATGAATTATATGTTCAAAGTAATAATAGAGAAAGGAAAACTATTACAGCGTCTCAATTTAATCTCAATTGCTGCAATAATTTCATAGGATGACCTTTGTCCTCTGCCTTAACTATGAAATATCAAGCAGATAGACCTAAGTACAATTTGAAGACTAAAATGCATTTTTCCAACAGGGAAGCTCCTCCTTAACTTAATGGACCATACTGAAGTTGTCAGACACTTGACTTTTGCCCCTGATGGCAGCCTGATACTAGTATCGGCCTCAAGAGACAAAACATTACGAGTGTGGGATCTAAAGGATGATGGTATGTTTTCGGGAAAGAGAAAACTGTGTTATAGAGCCTACAGTCACCAAAATCTTGGGTGCTCTAATTCTCCTAGAATCGCCACTGTTGTAATATAATAAATACACCACAAATTGCTGTACTATCTTAAATTAAAATTAAGGCATATAAAAGACCTAGGCCTTTTTGGTTTGTACCTGGTGGCACGCTTCTTAAAAGATTAAATGTGGTCCTTGGCAGGAAATACATCACAGATCCTTTTACTACAAGGGATGATAAAAGACCAGGGAGCCACATTCAGTAATAGCAGCATGTTCTAAATAAATTGAATGGAGTTTTGAAATGATGCTCTGTACCTGTGAAACCTACCCTGGGTTCAACCTCAGATGTATTGAAATTTGATTCCATACATGTAGGGAAATTGCTACAATTCACTTTTAAAAGTTGTTGCTGCCTATTAAATGGTGCCACCTTCTTAGTGAGAAGTTAGCAATCTGGTTTTTTTTTCCTATTCACTTTAATAAAGGTCCAGTCTCCTGCTACTATCAGGAACATGATAAGAACTGGGCTAGTATATTCCCCAATAATATAACACTTTTTTTTGTATTTTTCATCATTTCTACTTGACTGTGGTGTTAAAATCTTCTTTTTAAGCGCGCAACTAGTTTAACTTCAGGCAGAGAAAGAACAGTGGACAAAGTTCCAAACCACTAATTCAGAGAGTGATTGAGACCGATCCATTTTCTTCTCTTAATTTTCCAGGAAATATGATGAAAGTATTAAGAGGACACCCAAACTGGGTGTATAGCTGTGCTTTTTCTCCTGATTCTTCCATCCTTTGCTCTGTGGGAACCAATAAAACAGTAGGTATCAAAGTTTCATGATCTTCAGTTGGTATTTCAATTGTGAACAAAGAATAATTTGGAATCTTAAAATAAAATATGTTTGTGCTTGGCGTCATGCTGCTTTGTTGATGATGTGAGGATTTGCATGACCAAAATATTTACAGTAATTAGCATAAGGTTGCTCAGTTAGGTGTTACTGAGCTGACACTGCATTGCTTTTAGATTCAGAGAAAATGAATCTTTGCATGTCTCCATCTGTTCCATAATTCTTTACAAATAAAATACAAATTCCAGTTTAAGAAGAAATGGTTTAATATTAGTAGAAATATATGTTTTGTTCTTGGTGCTTCTTATATTTTCCTCCTAAAGCCTGGGCTGCTCTCCTATAACAATACAGTAGCATTCCTGGTTGGTATTTAACTACAAGCAACCCTTGTGCCTTGTAAAGAGCTACTATGATATATTAGTTTAAATAAAATTGCAATGCCCTGCTGCAAAGTTCAGAATTAAGTTAACTTTCAAGATAAAGGGCCTTCTCCAACCTGATTCTCTCCAGATGTTCTTTAATATGGGACAGTCCAGTCACGAGAGCAAATGGTCAGTTGATGCTATTGGAAAAACATCTTGAGAGACTCCGGTTGTGAAGACTGGAAGTTGTAGAACTAGCTTGGGATGAAAGCCATTAGTTTTAATCAGTGAAACTTAAGTTTTGAGAAGCATATGTGAGACTGAGTTTCTTATATATATACCATAATAAATTCCAGATTGAACTCTTATACGGGTGGGCAACTTGTGTCTCCTGAGGCTTATTTATATGGTGTCGAGAGTTTTGTTGGGATCGGGAATTCTACATTTCCTGCAAAAAGTTAAAATTTCTAAAATAAATGGTTGGCTGTAAGCCTGGAAAAATAATGAGTAAAATCCAAGGCTTGCAATGAGCTGGGGGGATGGCCCAGATTCACTGTCGTACAGCTTTTGGATTAAACATTTCTTTAAAAAAAACAGATCCTGTTTAAAACAAAAATAGAAAAAGAGTTTGGGGTGTGGTTTTGTATCCTCCTTCAGAGCCACCATTTCAGAATTTGATTTTATGGCATTGCATAATTGCACAGCTCTTAAGTACAGACTTACCCCAGTCAAATTCTTGCAAAAAGAATGTTTTGGCTTTTGGGGGGTGCTGCGACTATTAATCAATTTTTAAATTCTTCTGCAGTGGCCTTCAGTGTTGACCAAGTTGTCCATCCTCTGGGCTAGCAAGAATCCTGGCTTCAGCTTAGCAGCTTAGCCAGGTTAGCATGGTGGGGGTGGGTGGGTGGGAACATATTTTAAAATTATGAAGCAGCGGCATAGAAAGGGCGGACTAGTCAGTAAAGTCTTAAACAGAACAGATGTGGATGTATGCCTTGATCTTTTAGGCTGTGTGTTTTCCATAAGCTTCTTGCTTTCCCTGTCACAGGTGGTGGCAGCAATATTGGTGTGATTGAGGGTAAGCTGGCACCACTCAGACAAGCGCACAATGGTGTTAGCTGGGCAGAAAGATTGGCACCTCCGGCTACCAGGCTGGAGGCGAACTTTACCATAGGACGAAGTAACCTTGCATTCGGCTGCAGGGTGTACTGTACGTACACAGGTGCTGGTTGATGTCCACCTTCTGCTTTTTTTTCCCTTTCTTTTCTTTTTTATTTTCTCATTGGTGAGAGCCACGGACTCCTTTTTAAAGAAAAAAAAACTTATCAACTTTAATGCTTTAGTATTTCATTCCTACGGAATGTTGGAGTCTGGTAACTTTGAGGCAATTGTCAGTTTACTGTAGCTGATTTAACAAAGTTTTGTTATAGTAACGTAACAGAGATTTAAAGAACTTACTTGCTCTACACATTATGCACAAATTCATGTTGTGCGATCGTATGTTTTAAAAGCTCTGCCTAGTGTTAAGGCTCAGAGTGATTTACAATATATATAATTTTTTAAAAAAATTGTGTTATTAAAATAACAACTACAATCCCTCTTCTGTGCAGATTTGTTTTTGTTGCTAGACTGTTGATAAAACACCGAAGTGTGTAGTATAAATTTGATAGTTAGATTCTCCCAGACGTGCTTAAAATTGACCCCAATGTAACAAAAAAAAAAACATTTAAATGCACGTAAACTGTGTTTGAGCCATGCCTGCCAGTAGAAATGCTTTAATTTATTGAAACCTTATTTAAAGGAAAGAGCCTGGCAATAACGTTTGATTTTTATGCTTAAAAGTAAGCTTAAAATGTCCATACTTTTAATAACTTGGATTGATTTTTATTTTTGCCAAGTCATGTCATTTGGCTGTGACAATACCTGTTTTTGCTTGCAGTATCTGTTTCTCTTCCTAGGCTGTCGTTGGCGATCCAAGCCCCTTGTAAACAAGTGGTCTTAAACTCACAGGGAATTCCACGGGAGTAACAATATGTTAACCTTCCTTTTTTTTTTCTGTCTGTATATTTCTTAAATTTGGGGTAGATAATTGAACAGAATAGAGATGTTAGTACTTTAACCCTATTACATTTTAAAAGTAGATAAATATTACATGCCATTCAGTTAAGTACCCTACACCATTAAATTTCCATTTGATACTTATCTTTATATATTATTGGCTTACATTACGAATAACACTTAACATTGTTAGCATTGCATGTATACTTTTAATTTCTGTAATTCCGAGTACGACACTGAGCGTATTCTTTAATTGTAGTAGTTGGCCATTGTGCTTGGCCTTTAATTTTAATTCCAAGTACTAGTACAAAGATCTGGGGTGGGGGAGGGGTGTGTGTGTGAAAATGCTTCCCCTATAGCAGAACTATAACAGGGCCTTGTTTTGATTACAGGTATTGCTTTGGAATATGGATAAATACACCCTCATCCGAAAACTGGAGGGGCATCACCACGATGTTGTAGCCTGTGAGTTTTCCCCGGATGGAGCCTTGCTGGCTACTGCATCTTACGACACCCGTGTCTACATCTGGGACCCCCATATTGGAGCAATATTGATGGAGTTTGGGTAAGCCTGTGCCTTAGTCTGGTCCACTCTTTCTTAACTTTGCCAACTTCAAGATGTATGAACGTCAACTCCCAGAATTCCCCAGTCAGCATGGGTAGGCACAGAGCAATGACAATATAGGGGAACAATAGGGTGCGTTCAATTTTGTTCATGCAGAATGGATCTTCCCCTTCTTTTTCCGTCTTGATATTTTCTGTACCCCAGACTCCCCACCCCCACCCAAAAAAAACCCCCCTTCTCCCTGGGCAATTTGGAAACACCTATAAGCACTGACTGCTGCTTCTTATGGGGCAGCAGTGGGAAGCATTCTTGAAATTAAAAGAATATAGGAAAGCTCTGGCCCATTTTGGAGACTTCGGATTCTGTGAACTGTTAAAACTGGTGGCAATTTATTGACTTCTGCACATCAGTATAGGTGGTGCTCAACTTACAACAGTTCATTTAGTGACTTACAATGGCAGTGGAAAAACTGACTTGTGAACCTTTTTCACATTTACGAACATTGTAGTATTGCTGCATGTCGTTCGGTGCATTGCTTTAAACTAGTCTACACCTTGTAGGTCAAGTAGTCCTAAGATGCTTTGGACAAAGTCTCTTCCTCTTTGAACGTAAACAGAAAGAATCCTAATTAAAATGTTGGCTTCTGTCCAAGCATATTGAAAAGGAGAGATTTTGGAAGAGTCTTCTGCAGTTGAAGCTGGAAGAGCTGCATAGATCTTCCTTTATTCTCCACCACTTGATCACAGATCTCAGGGACCTCTGTTGTAGATCTTAAATGATTAAATAAAATGCAGCTGCTTCCAAAGGCTTTGATATAAAAGTGTCATTTTTGTCCACAGGCATCTGTTTCCCCCTCCAACTCCAATATTTGCTGGAGGAGCAAATGACCGCTGGGTCAGATCTGTATCTTTCAGTCATGATGGACTGCATATTGCAACACTTGCTGATGATAAGTACGTATAGCGAAGCGCACTGGATTTTGCTAGTTCTTGCTGGTCGAGAAAATAATCTTGTTCGTTAAACCCTGCCACTGGTTCATTTAAGTGGATGAGAAAAATACGGCCCTAACTGCCATAAAAGGTGATCCATGATAATCAGATTAAAATATAATCATTTATTTATAATTTCGTTTTCCACAGCTGGCTGCATGAGCAGTAACTGAACCACAGGCAAGATAATGTCAAGTATAATCAGCAAGAAAGGCAAATATCTCAAATGATTTTTTTTTAAAGCCAAAGTTGGGTTTTAAAAATGCTTTGAGAGCTCCCTTAAAAATCAAGAAAGGGTGTCAGCTGTTATGTTCCAAGGATAGGATTTAACAAATGTTGCTGCTTGCTGTCATAGAATGGATTAGCCTTTTATCCTAATCAGCCATGCCTGGGAAAGTTGTGGGATAATCTAGATCAGGGGTGGGGAACCATGGCCCCTTTATGACCTGTGAACCTCAACTCCCAGAATTCCACAGCATGCTTTCTATCAGAAAGTGTGCCCATTCAGGAAGTAAAATAGAACTGTGATGACTCAGTGACTATGGTCAGCCCTGAGTAATCATTAAGCATCAAAGGTTAATCCATATTAGAAAGAAAAAGGAAAAAAAAAACTGTCAAAAGTTTAATGAAGTACAACACATTATATATGTGTGAGGCATTTCTGTCTGCTAACAGATGCTCGAAAATAGTCAGTGCCCTCTGGAGTTCAGCTTGTAAGGAAACCATAAAATAACCTGCCATTGTAATAAGAGCAGATGAGGCGGATGGGCCTGAAAGATCTGGTTCATCACACCTCAAAGTACAATTGCAATCTTTCACTGGGATTTGTACTGTTGGCAACACATTAGATTAGAGCATGCCGGGGAGAATGCTCTCAGTGTCATGGTCTCCAGGGAAAGAAAGATAAGTCAGAGCCCATTGTCATCCTGCAAGGCTTTCCAGAGATACAGCTGAATACAAGTCCCAAAGGTGCTTTTTCTAAAAGGCAACAGGACTCTCTCATGTTTTTTTCCTTCCTTGAAAATTTTTTGTGTCTCATCCAAGCTTCTTCAGTTCTAACTGATTGGTCATTTAGCATTGAAGAAGCTTCTTGGATGAGGAGCAAACAGTTTTCAAGAAATTAAAAAAAACGCAAGAAAATCCAGTTGCCTTTGAAAAAAGCACCTTCGGGGCAATCATGACCTAAATGATTGAGAATCTCCTTAGAGTCTAGACCAGGAGTGTTAAACTCCATTTCATTGAGAGCCGCATCGGCTGTGGTTGACCTTGGGGGGGCGGGAATGGGTTGCCGTGGCCAGCCTGACACCACTTCCCAAACTCCTGGCATGTTTCCTCTTCGCTCAGGGTAGATTGGGCCCATTTTCCAGGATAACCCCGCAGGCCGAATCCGACCAGATTGTGGGCTGAATCTGGCCCGTGGGCCTTGTGTTTGATACCCCTGGTCTAGGCAGTTGAGTAAAAGATGCATAAATTGGATAAGGCAAGATTTGGGTATGAACATACTGAAGTCCAGAATGCTATTCTTAAATAAGACAATTGTGTACCTCATAATTTGGCAGTGGCCACATATGCAATTGTAGTTGCATACTTCACAAAATGACCCTTAAATTGGTTTGAGGTACCAGGGGACAGTCCCCTGCCCACCTCTAAAACTCTGCGGAAGTGTGGGAGTTCAAGCACAGGAAGAAAAACAAGCCTCAATCTTCTGTTTCAGCAAGAAATATAATTTCCCCTTTGCTCCTATAAAAGGTGTACATTACTTTGGATTGCTGCTGAGTTTGAATATTTTGCATAAACCAGTTACTGTGGTTTAAACATGGCTTGTTACTTAGCAGATGTCAGCTCTCCCAAGTAGACCAGACCAGGAAAACAAAGTATACAAGCTAATATCACTTTTGTTATAAGGTTTTAATGAACAAAATCTTGCAAGTCTGAATGTGTTTCCTCCCTTTCCTCTCTTTATCTTTATTAGAACGAGGAAGGGACTTGTCTGAAGTGCTTACTTGGGTTACAGTTCTGGCCTGGACTCAAAACTATTTTTACAGTTTGCATCCAGTTGGCTGATCCAAAGCCACACCCAGACTGTGTATTTATGTTCTTTCATGGCTTCTCCGTTACTTCAAGAATCCTTTGGAAGCCATCAGTTTGCAAGAGACATCTCAATCAAGCCTCTAATTCGTCTGCTGCTGTTTCTTTCAGGCTGGTTCGGTTCTGGAGAATTGATGAGGATTACCCTGTGCAAGTTGCACCTTTAAAGAATGGGCTTTGCTGTGCCTTTTCTACTGATGGCAGTGTTTTAGCTGCTGGGTAAGGAGACTTTGCAAGAGAAAATATTTTACATTTACAATTGCTTACTTTTACTCTATTGTTTGTCTCTCTGTCTGTTCATTTGACTTTTATCCAGCTTTTATTTACAAGTAATTCAAGGTGACAAACATACATGATATTCCTTCCTCTTCCCGCTTTCCCCACAACAACAACTCAGTGAATTGAGAGTGAGTGACTGGACCAACGGGCTTTCATCCTAAAACTCACTGTATCCTGGTTTCTAAGCTGACACCTTAACCACTACCGTATTTTCACCCATATAACCCGCGGGTTATATGCNGGCAGTACAGGTAGTCCTCAAGTTACGGCCACGATTTCTGTTGCTAAGGGAGACGTTTGCTAAGTGAATTTTGCCCCATTTCGCGACCCTTTCTTGCCACAGTTCGTAAGGGAATCACTGCAGCTGATTAAGTTAGCAACCTGGTTGTTAAATGATTCTGGACGTTAGTTCTCAGATCGCAAAAGGTGATCCTGGGCTACCGCAACCGTCATAAATGTGAGTCAGTTGCCATGTGCCTGAATTTTGATCAGGTGGCCATGGGGATGCTGCAATGGCTGTAAAGTGTGAAAAATTGTCATAAGTCATTTTTTTTTAGAGTTATTTTAACTTTGAACCACCACTAAATGAACAATTGCAAGTCGAAAACGGAGCCTAGGAGGGCCGCGCAAGCCCCCTTAAGCTCTGTTTTCACTGGCAGAGCGCTCGGGCCACCACCAGCCCCTCTGACACGAGTGACCTCAAGATGGCCACGCCCACCATAGCCACGCCCACTGAAGTCAAATACAACCCTAATGCGCCCCTCATTGAAATCGAGTTTGACACCTCTGTAGTAAAGGAATTGTCTTGCTATGGATTCAATCATTCTGGAGTATCATTTTAGTCATCACTGCCCTCTGGTGGTTATTCATTAACATAGAGATTCAGTTTTAACAAAAAAAGTAGCCCTCACATAGCAATGAACAAGGACATACATTCAGTTTTGCAGGATCCAATCTGGGTCGGTCACCGGGACCAGAGTTTTTTTCTCCTGAGCTTTCGGACTCATGCTGGAGCCCATCCTCAGAGAAAATCCTTGAGAATGGCTTCTAGCACGAGTCCGTCAGACATCAGAAGACAAAGCGTCTGGTCCCAGTGTTTATGGAGATTCTCAGTCCTCCAGGTCATGGATTGTCCCAAAGGTGCTTTATCAGGAGGCACCTGGACTTTCTTTGTTTTTCTTTGAAGACATTTCGCTTCTCATCCAAGAAGCTTCTCCAGTTCTGACTGGATGGTGGGGAATGGAAGGGTTTATATTTCTTGCAGAAGGAATATGCTGAAGCCCCTTTGGGAAATCCATGACCTGGATGACTGAGAATCTCCATAGACTTTTAGCTATGCATTTTGGGATAAACACTCTTCAAATGGTGCGGGAGTATGAATGGATTTCCAGAAAAATTGCAGACTACAGGAACCATTTGTGCTTCAGTTTGAGAAGCAGACAATACAGACTCATCCCCAACAGCCTGTCTTCAACAGGGAAGGGACACAGGGCAGAAAGCATCCTGCAGCCAAGAAGGTTCCACACCCATTTGCACTACTGAGGTGACCCTGAGGACACAGATAAACCTCCAGGTGGCTTCAACGACTCTTTAAAAAATGCAAATGATCAGCTACAAGAAATATACATCTTTCCTTTTTCCACCATCCAGTCAGAGCTGAAGAAGCTTCTTGGATGAAAAGTGAAACGTCTTCAAAGAAAAACAAGAAAGTCCAGTTGCCTCCTGAAAAAAGCACCTTTGGGACACTTTGGTCCCGGTGATCGACCCTGATTAGATCCCGTAACATTATCCTGGGACATGTATATTCACTTTCATTCATTTAATTTTGCAGCTACTAAGATTGTTGGACGAGCTGGCACAAAAACAGCCAGGGAAGTGATTGAAGTCTGGGAAATGGGCCCCACGTCAGTCAACAGGAGTGCTGATTTATCACCAGCCGGTCAAGTACTTAAAAGGTGAGGGCTGGGCAGCAGAAGCAAATGACAGCCGATGACTTAAAAGCCAGCCATCAACACACCTCGATCCACATCTAAAAGATCACATACAACAGCCACCATATAAATACCATACACAAAGCAGCACACACTCTGCTACCGAAAAGTTTCCTGAAGATGGGCTCCGGCACAAGTCGGAAAACTCGGAAGACAAAAACTCTGGTCCTGGTGACCAACCCAATTTGGATCCCTAACAAAAAATTGTCCCAAATGATTTAATTATGTAGAAAGCTACCGTATTTTTCGGAGTATAAGATGCACCAGAATATAAGTTGCACCAAGATTTTGAAGAGGCAAATTTTAAAAAGGGTTTTGCACTCTGTAGACTTCCTCAAAATGGCCCGTTTTTTGCGAAAACGAACCTGTTTTTTTTTTTAAGGGCCTGCATAGCCTTTAGGAGGCTTATAGAGTGCTCCTGGGGAGGGGGAGGGGCAAAAGTGAGAAAAGAATGGACCATTTTTTGCTCATTTCTGCCCTCCCCAGCCCCCAGGAGCATTCTGCAAAGCTCCTAAAGGCTATGCATGGCCATTTTGGTGAAAGGGGGGGGGGTGTCAGGAGGCAAAAAATGCTATATTCAGTGTATAAGATGCACCCAGATTTTCAGCCTCTTTTTTGAGAGAAAAAGGTGCATTTTATATTCCAAAAAATATGATAGATAAAGCCTTCCTTGAGTCAAAATCTGAGCTGAGGGTGAATAAATGGACCAGTTCTTCTAGCATCCTTTGTAACAATACAGATGCCAGGCTACCTCACAGTTTCCAAAATCCACATCTTTTCCAAGAACAATTCTCATAATAAAGACCATGTCAGGCCTGGAAGCCATCTTTTGCATTGGGCCTTCCAGCCTACCACATTTAACGCTGTGGGAAACTGGGATTATATGGTGTATGGGAGAGATACAGTCATAATAACATTCCTTTCTCAGAGAGTCAAGGACATCTTGTCCTGCAGGAGTGGTGTGACTGGGAGGCCTCTCCACCTGGGACGGTTCCTGTTTGGGGCCATGTGATGGACATGTGGGTTCTGGGCAGGGGCTTGGACTTTCATCTGGGTGGGGGAAACCTGGAAGCTTTCAGATTCGGGTTTTCCCAGATGTGCCAATATGACATCTCTAATAAAATGGAAACTTTGAGGAANTCAGAGTCCAAGGCAAAGTATTGCTCAAAGTTCCAATTTATTAAGAGAGCCATGTTGGCAGATCTGGGAAAACCCGAATCTGAAAGCTTCCCGGTGTTCTCCACCTAGTAGAAAGTTCAAGATCTTGCCCCCACACCCACCAGTCCCTCACATGGCCCAATCTTCCACTGCCATGCTGGCAGTTCCACCCATCTAGTTCCGGTCAGGTGCAGAGACAAAGGGTGACCTTGGCTTTCTAGAAAGAATGTTGTTATGGCTACATAGCATCTAACTGTACAATCCCCCCTCCCATTTTTCCACTAATGAAACAGCATAGTAGAATAGAATATTAGTGTGGCAGGCCAAAGATCCTAAAAGGAACCGGCTGCAGGCCTGACACACACACACACACATTTGTGAACCGGTGGTAAATTTATATGAATCTCACTGCTGCAGGAAAGGTCCAGCTGGTGCCACTTATTGCACTGCAATGACTAAACGTGATCCTTCTTTGACCCCTCCCTCTAATCTAGCTGGAGATTCCACCACATGGACAGCTTGATGGCATTCAAGAGCTGGAAAATTGGTACCAATCTTTATATACCCTCCTAACTTGGCATATATAGCATGGAAGGAATAGAAACCACAATTTTGCGTAGGCTGGTGGGCCTGCTAAAAAAATTGGACAGGAGAACAAAAACAATGGAAATCTTCCAAGGCTGGAAGGATGATTCAAGAAGCGTTTCCTGAAGATTGAACAGGGGGGAAAAAAACAGATGGAAGGCAGGAAGTGGCAGGCTTTGTGGTCAGGGACTTGGTTCTTCCTGCCCCCAGTAACAGGATGCTCGCCTCCCATAATAACAGATGGAAATCAGGAATCCCCAGAAGTGTCTGTACACAAGCTGGGCCCATAAATTAGCTGTATTGCATATTTGTGAATTACGGTGGTGCTGCTTGCTTTGCAAAAAAAAAAAATGCTTTGTCTAGGATTTAATGTCCAATAAATGTTTGCCTAATGCAATTCTCTGTCAATGATTAATAAAGTATTGTGGTTTAATATTTTCTGGTGATGAGCGAACCAACAGCGAATTCAAGAGAAATAGAAATGAATTCCAATAGAATAGAATAGAATAGAATAGAATAGAATAGAATAGAATAGAATAGAAAACAGAATTGAAAGGGC